ATCAATCAGGCCTGGAACTGTCACAAACAAGATGTGAATATTTCTCTAAACTCTTCAGAAGTCAGATTTTGTAGAATTAACTTATTTCATGGAGCTAATTAACTGTAAAAGCCATCTATTTAAAATAAATAGTTCATTACATGCTTGTATTTAGAGATTTATACAACCACATGGGCTTATCAATTCTAATGAACTAAAAAAGATTGGGCAAAAATAAATTTATCTAGAAAATGCAGAAACACTATGTTGTCCTTTAACATAATATGTTTTTATGTAATATGTCATGTTAATAGAACAGCTCTGCTAATCACTACAGGTAACTGTAGCATTTTATTCCATATTCTGGAACACATTTTCGATTGACACGGAATGATAATCCACTACCCCTTTTTTTAAAGAAGGAAAATTCTCAGAATGTTTAAAATATTGACAGTACTTAATAAAAGCATGTAAGTTTTTAAAATAATGCCTTAATGTTCTAAGTTGAAATTGCCTGTACAGTTGAACAGTATATTTGAAATATGCAACATGTCAACGTGTATGGATAACTCAACAGATGATGTGAAACGCTCCAATGATATTCCAAAAGTAGAGCATAATTGATTTTTAGTGCTAATGGTAATTCTGCATTCTTATACATAAATTGTTTACTTTTTTACATCCCATAGCATGCACTTCAAACCAAAACTAATGTAGTCTATCAAAAGGCAAACATACTGGACAAATAGAGACATAATACATACTTGTTGTATTTATTTATAAATCTACTTGCAAAAATTTTGTGGCTTTTAATGGAAATATCTTCTGTGTAAATGTGTTCAGTTTCATGCTTTAAGCAAAAATCTTTCTCCTTATTTCAGTATCATATTAGGATGTCTGTAACTTCCATTCAAACCTATTGCATTGAAATGACAGAGTTTTGTTCAACTTTGCTAAGGTAAAAGAAGATATCATAGTTAAGAAAATAATCTCTCTTTCTTCCATTGACTAAAGCATGACAAGCAGAGAATAGGATATTTTGAATTCATATCAGGAAGGCAGCTTAAATGTACAAAATTCATACAGAAGAGTTGAGGTAGAAACAGATTGAAAGAATTAGCTGAAAAATGACATGTGTTTAAAAAAATGTTCAGGCATTGGGAGGATATAAACGAGGGTGTTCCTTGTATTATTTCCAAAGAATACTCACCATTTGGACATAATAACATAACTCTATTAATAATGTAAGAATAAAGGAATTGATTCACATTAAAGTAACTGTAAAACTATATTTAAAAAGTCGCCTGAAATTTAGGTAGTGATCCAGAGCAGAGCTATGTTTCTCTTGATTCTTCAGGTCTAGTAACACTGGGTCCTGACGTGTAACCAATGTGGTTCTAACATCACCAGTTCTTTGTTATATCACTCATGATACATTAACTCCTATTTTCCATGTATACTACAAAATGCAATTTGAAAACTGGAAAAAAGTCAATTGCTCCATATACAGATTAACAAGTTTTGCTAGGCATAAAATACTAATATGTATCATAAAGAGTAACAACCAAAGTCAATATTTAATAAGTTAGTGAAAACATTAGTTCGTGTTTGTAGTAAATTACAATGTACTCTAGATGTCCATGTAGTTATTTAAACCCAAAGTTTAGGTAAAGGAGGTACCAAGTGCTACTGTATTGAATAGATTCATCATTAAATACTTTTATCAAGAAGGTCCAAATAGCTCTAGTGAATCCTTCAGAGATTTTTCAGTAAATAACATTAGAAGGGAAATTTTGACATTTAACAATTCACTAACTTTAAAAGGCAAAGTTAAAATAATAAGAATGTTGAAATTATTAAATGGAATTCCACTAAAGTCCTCGTAAAGTTAAACAGAGAAAATAATTTACAAAATGATAGGCATAGTTAGTAGATTCACAGAATTAATTTCGTTGTTGTATTATATAACACCACTTAAGGAAAGTTATGTTTTTCTTGATTCTTTTCTCTAAAACAGACATTCTGACATTTAGGAGATAGAAATATATCATTTGACCTTTAAACTTCTGTTTCATTAATGTAACCACAAGCAACAGAGTCACTGACTGATATTTTTGCACTTTCAGGCCTTTAGCACTTAAAGTTACTTGATAACTGTTACGCCACTATTCGCTTTTTATTAGAGACACTTTGAGGAATGTGATGCATTAAAAACAGAGTATATTGTGTAAAGCTTAATAAATGATATCATGTAATTCAATAGTATTCTCTTGACAACTAGATTTTGTATTTTAATGGGAGGGGATATTTTTTAATGCAAATTTTGTTTTGTTTTCCAGTTAGAGTATGACATCAAATATGACTCCAAAGTATTCAAAATAAAAATGTAAAATATAACTTGTAACATGACTTTTGATGAAAAATATGTCACTGACTTACATACACTCTATTAGTCATTAAGCCCTGCCTGTATGGGCCTATGAACAGAGTAAACGTCAGTTGCAGAAGAAAAAGTAAAGAAAAATAACTGACTCCACTTAATATTTTTTTAACAGAGAAAATTTCTTGTAAATGTGTATATAAAAATAGCTTGAAGTCTGTGGACAAAGTAAAAAAGGTGAATAAAAGGATCCTCCCTGGAGAATTATAGAATTACTATAAGCAAACTGTGTAAAAAGTAATACAAATCAGATTTGTTTCATATGAGAAAAAAAATTATTGTTAAAAAATGTAACCAGTGTAACTGATAGAAACATCACTTAAAAGAGACACAAACGTATTCTCTTTTAGAAGTTTAAAAATCACTAGTTCCATAAGATATTACAAAACTCAGAAAATAGCATAAAAATGGATGAGTAAAGGACAGAAGTAAACAAGGACTGCACCAAACAACAACACTGGAAAGATATTGTCCCCACTAGTTAAAGAAGCTCACTATTGGAAGCAATGAGTGAACTCAACATAGGTCTTCAAAAGTAGAATGTAGGTCCAGTTATTTTAATTAGCCTCAATATGTATTAGATTGTTCATTAGAAATAAACTGCTGAGATACATCATCAAAAAGACAAGCAGTCTAACAAACCCTTTGGGTTGAAAATGTTAATGCTCATTGCCAATAAGCAATATGCTGCTACAAACAGAGACTGTATCTCACATGATATGTGTTTGCAGCCTCTGAGGACAGTGTTTCACTCTCACCATCTCTGTTCAAACTTTCAAAACAAACTTAATATGAAGAACATAAATATGGGTTTAATGTATATCCCTATGTGACAAAGAGTTCATTGCTTTTACCAACAATGAAAAGGTATTTTATTAAGTTAAAACAATTTGTTGCTTTTGTATAGATCCAGTGTACATTTTGTTTACAGCAAAGATGGCATATATTATTGAAGCACATTATTAATGTATATTAAAAACTATAATAGTTTCTATGAGAAATTGGACTAAATAAATGTGTTGAAAAAGATGTAAATCATATACCACACCCATATTCCAGATTATTAAATTTAAACTATGTTGCATCATTCAAAGAGACACATAACCCCCTCTCTTTCACCTTAGACATGCCATGTATACTGATTTTGTGCAATCCACACTTATAAGCCAAATACCACCCAGTGGAGAGAAAGAAGATCTTTCAGGGAGATTCGAGGTATATGTCAGGTAAGAGTGTTGGGGGAGAAGGTAGGGAAATGAGAAATGAAGATATAAGGGTGTTTAGCCTTGTTTCGATCTAAGCACTGATGATCAGCAATTTATATTTTCACAGGAGAAAAAATGTTTACAGAAGCTCACTCTGCAGTGTTTCTTAGGGATAAAATCAGGCTATCCATGTTCATTAATGACAAAACATTTCAGTGCTCAAGCTTACAGAAAAGAAGGGAAGAGGGAGAATGAAATAAACAAGTAAAACAGAAGATGGAAGGAGGGAGGAAAGAGGGAAGAAAGAGGGAATAGAGATAAACGGAGAGGGGAGGGAGAGAGAGGGACCATATGTACACATGTGTGAGTGACAGTGTGTGGAGCTGTGAAGGAGTGTGTGCCTTTTAAGCAATAAAAGAGAATCTGAATGTGAAAGTGGTTGTTAGAACATGGAAGTGCCAGTGTGTGTGAGGATGTGAAATAGAGAATATGTGAAGGCGGGTGTTTAGGAAAAAGAGATTTGTGAGGGTGAGAAAACGGTACTGGAAGAAGCTAGAGGTCCAAACACTCATGGGATTGTGACAGTGATGGGAAAGGCTATAGAAAGAGAATGGGAAATGTGAATCGAAACGGAAGACAACACACAGAACAGGGGCATTAATGAGGAAGAAATACGGGGAATGAGGAAAGGTGAGGGTGGAGGGAAGAGGCTTAAATAAGAAGACCAGAAATTAGAGTGGTGGAGAGAAAACAGAGGAGAAAATAGAAAAGGGAGGAAAGACTAGAGAGAAAAGGCAAAAAGGATGAAAGGAGGCAATGGAGGGAAAAAAGTAAGAAAGAAGTGGGAAAAAATGGAAAAAGAGACGGAGGAAGAAACGAGAGCAGGGAACAAGTTGTAAGAGGAAAGAAAGAACGCCGAAGAGGGAGAAACTGAGCCTAAGCGTCCAAGTGAGAAGAAAAATAAATGGGAACAGGGAGGCAGTAGTTAGAAAAAGTCGCTGAAGCCTAGAGTAAAACGGAAACAAACCTGATAAACTTGTCAGACTCTCCAAGAGTACCCTGTGTCAGTGAAACAGAGACCTTGTGAATTGGGTTTCAGTGACACCTGCCCCTCCTAAACCTCACACTTCACTCATCCCCTGGCTACTTGGCGCTCCGCAAAGTGCTTTAGCATCACGAGTCCAGCTTTTGCTACCTGCCCCAGAGTAAAGGGGCCAGAGCTCAGGGCAGAATCAGCATCTGGATTTCTTCAAATGTGGTCTTTTGATGGTGATCACCACCAGCGTTATTACTCGGTTTAAAAGAGGCAAGAAAGGCAGAAAGAGAGACAGAGAGAAAGACTGAGACAAGTACGAAAAGCACGCCGTTCTTCCTACCTAAGCACCGCCGTGTCCCCTTTTCTGACCATCATGTTGTCCACGGCCGCCCAGGGGAAGTCCACACTCTGTCCAGCCGGGAGGCAGGAGGGCAGCAGGCAGCACAGGCTGAGGAGCACCGCCGCCAGCCACTGGTTCGAGCAGCAAGCGCCCTGCACCAACAGCATCATGTCCATCCCTGCTAGGGCTGCTCACTCTCCAGCGGCGTTCAGCTCGCACTCCCCACCCCCTGGTGCTGGCGAGTCTTCCCGGGAACCAGGCGGCGCGCCACACGATTTTTTCTCTTTCTTTTTTTCTTTGCTTTTTTTTTCTTTTTCCTTTCCTTTTCTTTTTATTTTATTTTTTTGTTTGGGGGTGGGGGGCTGGTGGTGGGTGGGTTTCTTTTTCTTTCCTTTTTCCCCTTCTAGTTGTGGGGTGTTGTTTCTCCTTTTGCCTCCCTCCTGCTCCTCTCCGCTCTCCCTCCCTCCCGCCCCTCCCACCCCCTGGCACCACACTACACCTCCTCCCGGTAGCTTTTGGCCGCGTCCGGAGTGTGTCTAATTCTCGGGCGGCTCGCACACCATCTAGCGAGGAGGCGAGCGCGCCGGCGAGTGCGGGAGGAGGCGCGGCGGCGGAGGCAGGGCGAGCGGCGCGGCGGCGGCGGCTGCAATCGCAGCAGCACAAGCTGCGCGGGGCTCAGCGGCGGCCGGCGGCCCCCGGGCTCGCGCGCGTTGCCAAGCGGCCGTTTCCTTAGCAACCCCGCCCGGGGACTGGGATGCAGCCTGGAGGGCGGGCGGGCGGACATGGTGGGGGGAGGCGGGCGGTGAGGGAGCGGTATGAAGGGAATAAAAAAAGGTAAGAGAAGGAAAAAGAAAAAAATTTATTTATCAGGAGGAAGTATATCACAATTATGCAAAGTAAAGGGAAAGGGATGTGCTTCGTGGACAGAAAGCTTCCCTTCCTGTCATAGGTAGTAGAGTGGGTGATGCGTCGCTTGAAAAGTCTCCGTGCCGGACTGAGGTGAGAAGAGCAGAGGGGCGCTTTGCTTTCCCTCTCCGATGCGTTTTACCTCTTGAGGCACCGTAACTTTAAAGTCTTCCAAGTTGTAGTCGGCGCCATCATGACGCCTGGTCTGTGAGGTGTCGTTGTTTATTTTTTCCAATTTCGCCTGGGCGGCCGTGCTGCAGTTGACACGCGGCCAACTAGTTCAGTATTTACCTCTTTTCGGAAATAGGTAGGAACGGTGGCAGGGGGCTGCTGTTTGAGGGGATCTGAGAGGTGCACGTAAGGCCTTGCGGTAGAGCACCTGGCGTGTTTATTGGGTCAGTCAATATGGATTGGAGGGCGCCTCCCCGCACCCCGCCCCGCTTCTGTGTTGACACCAAAGTGTGTGTGTGTGTGTGGTACAGTGTGTATGCGAACGTGTACGAAAGTGTGTAGTATGCGCGCGCACGAGGCCTGCGCCGCGCGGCACGCAGGCGCGATGGGAGGGACCAGGCGGGTTGTGCCTGGCTGCAGAGTTGGGGAGAGACTGCAATCAAGTGTTTTAATTGTGTAGAGCCAAGCAGTCCAGTTATGTAAGAGGCAGTTTAACCCGTTTGAGCCTATCGAGCGAATGATCAGTGCATCCGCATCTAGGTAGGGGCACAGTTACCGTATTTAACAAGTCACAGGTTTATATTTTTGTACGTATAAAAAACCAGGTTCCACAAGCTTTCTCTTCCGCAGTGTAGAGCGTCTACCCTTGCTTCGCACGCCGCAGCCCCTCAACCGCTCGCTCGGCAGCTGCGAGCTGCAGTCCTGGCGCTCGGCAGAGTGAGGTGCTGGACTTGGGCCCGCCCTCTACCCTTTTCTACTTCTTCCCTTCTGGAACTCATTTCCCGATTCAAGATCCGTTAGCTATTTCAAGCCATTTGCAGATCATTGCGAGAACCGAAGCTGGAGTCAATAGCAGTTACACCAATCAATCTTGTTAAGTGAGGAGTTTGGGAAAGAGAGCGAGGAAGTGAAATAGAGAACAAGTAATTAAAAATATGCGTGAGCCCCCCGCCATCCACTCTTGCCTTCTTCCATCTCTTTCCCCCTTAAGCAGCCTTTGAAGATTTTCTTCGCCTGACCCCAGTCCTATAAATAAAAAAAAGCAAATAAGGAAATAAAAAATTCAAAACCTAGCACATCCCTAACTCGTTTTCCATAATGTTAACAGGGTCTTTTCGCAAAGCGCACAGAAGCAATAATCTCTGCAGGGGTCAGCATCCGGCTACCTCCCCAGACTGAGCTCTTTATGAGGCAGGCAGGGAGTCGTTTTGCTTGGCGGTAGCGGTGTTCAGACTGATCTTTATCACCGCGCATGATATGCGGGGAAAATGGGGAAAGGGAAGGGTTCCCATCACCTGTGACCACTCAGACTGACTGATCAGAGAGGCCCTAAACCGGCATCACCTCCCTGCTCCACTGACGCTCCAAGGCTAGGCAATTAACCGAGACGTTTGCAGCAGGAGTTACTGATGTTATTAGTATTCAAACTTAACTCTCAAACCTGGCTCGGAAATTGAGAATGCAATAGTATTCAACCGCATTTTGAAACATCAATAAAATGTTAGTCATTTGCGAATGAATGAAAACATTTTCTTTACCGTCTGGTATGCTAGGGAAATAATTGTGAAATGACAGACTCTTGCTAATATTGATGCCAGATACCTAGATAACACTGTCATCTAGTTAACTGCGTTTTCTCTTTCTCGCATGGTGCACTGATGGATAAAGCTTAAATTTATCTAGGGCAAAAAGGAGTATTAGAAGAATCGGCATGTCTTATATACATGGGCAAAACTATGCAGTATTATTTAGTATTTTCTGTAGAAATGATCTAGACCCCACTGAAGAGAAGCAGAAGGCACAGCTTCGGGCATTGTGACTCAGTTTAGTGCTATTTTATGGAGGGATGGTGTGCCAGAGTTTTCTACTACAAGCTATGAAAAGCATCCTTTTGTAACTGCTGTTTCCCAGAGATCTGACATCTTCATGGGCTGGGGTGGAGGAGTGGGAGGTGGATTTCTGTGACCAGGGATGGAGCTATGCAGCAGTTTTAATATGTACAACAACCCTTCAGGCTTGTAAAAGGAAACTGGAACCACTTCTATTTAAAGGCAAAGAGTTTATTTATTTCTTTATGTATTTCAACTTCCATTCACTGATCACAAGACACTTAACTCTCACAAAACCTATCTAAAGGAAGCAATAATTAAAGCTAGTTTACAGATGCATGGACTATTGGAGAGATTATTTACATGTCCATGGGGCAGACCCTATTACTATATATACTTCTGCTGTCCTTTTGACTAGGGATGACAGTTTTTCCCCTCAACCATTCTAAAGGCATAAATCTGAGAGGATTTTTCAGGGTTTCTGGTATTTGCTTTTGAGGGCCTAGATTTCTTTTAAATAGAGACTTAAATCTTATCAGTCTTGGCTTCTTCTGAGGGAAAACTAAAGTGAAAAGGAATGACAAAATGAAAGAAAGAAAACTTCCTATCTCACATTGTACCTTAGAATTATTTCTAAAGTATCAAGAACAGGTATCAGCATTGTTTGAACTTTTTAGATAGTGAGGGTTGAAGTGGGTGTAATAGGATACTTGCTTGGTTAGAGTTTTTCAGAACTAACTTTGGAATGAATTACTACTTCCTTTTGAGTCACAAACACTTATTTTGTTTTAAAAGCTCAATTTCTAATATTTGTAGGAATGCAATTACCAGTGTGGAGTTATTTGGAAGGAGAAAGGTGGAACCTGATTGTGATAACTAACTATGTCATTATCTAGATTGGTTTACATCCCTGTTTGTCATGTCCTCTGACCTCAGGGATGTTGGAAAGGTAATGTTAAAAAGAAGCTTCTTAATCTTCCTTAGTTTAATAAAAGCTTGGTTGTCACTCTGCAGTATAAATGAGATTGTTATTAGGTTAAAAATTAAAATATAAATTGGTATTTGTTTTCTGATAATGAGTGAGTAAACTCAGATACATCTTTTATGCTATCACTGTCTAGGCATGAGAAATTTTAGGCAAGACAGGTCCCAGGACCTAATGGAAAGAGCTAATGAGAGCACTTTGTAATTCCTGAAAGAGTCGGTCAGTGAACCCTTAAAAACAAAACATATAAGAAAACAGCTCTCTAACTTGGGCCATAATTGATTCTCTATTTGAGTTAAGCCAGTTTAAGTTTGGAGCACCTTCCCAATTTAAAGTGCCCTATAGTGATGATTTGCAGGTCATTGTGAGAACTACAAAACTCAGGAAATGTGTTGAGGGCGGGAAAATCTTTCTTTGTATTAAAGGTGTCTCAGCCTAGGCCCTTTTGATATTTAAGGACAGGTAATTGTTTTGGGAACTACCCTGTGCCCTGGAAAATGCTGGCAGCATCTCAGGCTGCTCCCTAGATGCCAGTATCATCAGCAGATACCAGTAGCTGTGACAAACAAAATTTCTGGAGACATTGCTAAATGTCCTCTGGATTAGGGGAGTGGGTGCAAAAGTCACGTCAGGTAGAGAACCAGTCCATTATAGGTTACATTTCTAAAATTAGACACCAACTTATGCTTTCCAAATAAGATTTAAAAAAAAACAGATTTGTGGTCAAAACAGAAGTATTTTTATTTGACTTCTGTAGCTTCAAAAATAGTTCCTCCTCCTCATTAATTCAGTCTCTACATTTACCTGCTATGTAATTGAGAGGCCTGGGTTAACAAGGATGTAATGAATTTAATGGCTGACCATAAATATCTTTCTGTGATTTCTCTGTGGGAGCTCTTAATTTAAGCCAGAGTTGAACTGATAGTTCTCATTTTTAAAAGAAATTGTCATTTTGTGACACTTTAGTTTAAATAAAAGTATAAATATATGGTGAGTTTCTTTCGGGGCAAGAACTAACTTAAATATTCATCTCTTTATATAGTGACAGCTACATGGTGGTATGCACTCATGAAATGGCTATTGAATAAAGGAGAGGAAAAACAAAGTCATTTCCATATTGAATAGCTCTATGTAAGTATCATATATTCACTCATTTACCATTGTATCACCTTAGCTGTTAAATAGAAATGGTAAGAAAAGATGTGAGTGGGGTTGGGGTGCAGAGATGCCTATGCTATTCTCAGATCTCTTCAAACCATTTCCATGCAATGGCCCTGAAAATAAACACTTACACCAGAAAGAGAAATCTTCTGATAACTGTGGAAATTGTTTTTATAGTACAGAAATTTTTATTATTCTCACTTGTAAAATAATGAATGCAGCTTTAACTACATTTGTATCATTACATATTTGCATAGATTCTGGAAAAGCTAATCAATATCATTATTTATTGAAGATTTTTCCTCTCCTTATTCCAAAAGGACTTTAGGGACTTCAAATGCATATTTAAAAATAAATATTAAATTTAATACTTTCTATTAGACTATCAGGAATGTAAAATCTTATGCCTTCAAACTAATACTCTATTTTATATAAATTGTTATTTCATTTTATTTCCTAAGAAGTTCTGATTGTGACTGCTGGGATGTTTATCTCATATATCTGTATATGTATTTTTAAGATTTTATTTTTTTAGGGCAGTTTTCAGTTTACAACAAAATTTAGAGAAAGGTACAGAGATTTCCCTTATATACTCTGCTACTATGTATGCATAGCCTCCCCCATTATCAACATCACTTGCCAAAATGGCACATTTCTTTTAACCAAGGATGAAACTATATTGACAAATACTGATCATTAAAAATCCATAGTTAACATTAAGGTTCACTCTAGGCATTGTACATTCTATGGGTTTGGACAAATGTATAATGACATATAGACACAATTATGGTATAATACACAATATTGGCACTATGCTAAAAATTCTCTGTGCTCTTCTATTCATTTCTCCCTTGGAAAACTCTAATCTTTTATTGTCTCCATAGTTTTGCTTTTTCCAGAATGTCATATAATTGGAATCATACAATATATAGTCTTTTCAGATTGACTTCTTTAACTTAGTAATATTCATCTAAGTTTCCTCAATACCTGTTCATGGCTTAGTAGCTCATTTTTTTAAGTTCCGGAATTATATTCCAGTATCTGGATTTATCCATTCACCTACTAAAAGACATCTTGGTTATTCCCAAGCTTTGGCAATTATGAATAAAACTGTTACAAACATCTGTGTGTAGGTCTTGTGTGGACATACATTTTCAATTCCTTGGTGTAAATACCAAGAAGTGTGATTGCTGGACCATATGGTAAGAGTAAGTTTTGTAAGAAAATGCCAAACTATCTTCCAAAGTGGCTGAACCATTTTACTCTCCCACCAGTAATACATAAGAGTTATTGTTGCTCCACACCTTCATCAGCACTTGGTATTGTTCATTTTTCAGATTTTGACCCTTCTAATAGGTGTGTAGAGGTATCTCATTTTCAATTCCATTTCCCTGATGATTTCTGATGTGGCATGTCTTTCTACTTGCTTATTTGCCACCTGAATATCTTCTTCGATGTTTCTATTAAAGTCTTTAGCTCATCTCTTAATCAGGTTTTTTTTCTTATTGTTGAATTTTAAGAGTCCTTTGTATATTTTGGGTAGCAAAATATTATCAGGTAATATTTTCTCCCAGTCTGTGACTTGTATTCAAATTCTCTTGGTGTTATCTTATGCATAACAGTTTTCATTTTTAATGAAGTCCAGCTTATCAACTATTTCCTTCATTGATTGTGTCTTTGTATTGCATTAAAAACAGCATCATCATTGTCCAGGGTTTTCTCCTTTATCATCATGTAGGAATTTTATAGTTTTTTGTTTTACATTTAAGTCTATGACCCTTTTTCAGTTACTTGTGAAAGGTTTAAGGTCCTTTATCTTGTATATTTTCACACCATACTGTGACTTGTTAGTTTTATTCCTTTGTCATATTTTCTGTAACTGATAGATATGTGTGTGTGTGTGTGTATATATATATATATATATGATAATGCCCTTGACATCAATCTAAGTTGTTTTTTATACCAATACTTTCCCCTTTTATTGTGAACTAGTCCCTGGAATGGATATACCATCATGTGTTTCACTATTTACCTATTTTAGGATATTTTTGTTGTTGCTAGTTCAGGTCTATTACAAATAAAGCTGCTCTGAACTGTCATTTCCAGGTTTTTGTGCAAACTGATTTTCATTTCTGTGAAACAAATACCCAGAAAAGTGATCATCCTATCATGTTATAAATATCTTTTTAGTATTTTTAAAAATCAACTTACAAACTATATTGTAGAGTGGCTGTACTATTTTGCATTCTATCAACATATTAGAGATCCCATTTCTCCACAGCCTCACCTCATTTTGTACCATTACTGAGTTTTATTTTTGCTCTTCTAATAGTTTTGTTGTGATATTTCATGCAAATTTTTCATTATGGTTTTGATTTGAATTTTCCTAATGACTGATAATGTTGGATGTCTTTTCATTTCATTTGCCACCTTTGAATCCTCTTCCAGGAAATTTCTCTGTGTTTTTTGCCCATTTTCTAATGGAATTGTTCATTTTTCTTATGAAGTGTAAACTTTTAAAAAATGTATTCTTAATATAAGTCCCACTAAAAGCAAGTTTGTGGCTTGCAAATATTTTCTCCAAGTCTGTACTTTTATTTTCATCCTTTTAATAAAGTTTTTCATAAAGCAGAAGTTTTTAAGTATAGTTTAGTTTATACAGGTTTTAAAATATATCCTGCTTTTGGTACCATATTTAAGAACTCTCACCAAGCACCAGGTCCTGAAGACTTTCTACTGTGTTTTCTTCTAAAGGTTTTATAGTTTTCCATACAAATCTGTGGTTCATTTTAAGTCAGTTTTTATATACAGTACGAGGTTGAGGCAAAGGTTATTTAAAAAAACAATTTAAATTTTGCCTATGAATATTCAATTACTGCAATACCATTTGTTGAAAAGGCTATACTTCTTGTACTGAATTCCTTTTGCACCTTTGTCAAAAATCAGTTGTGAGGGGCCATTTCTGGGTTTTCTATTCTGGTCTACTGATCTGTGTGTCTGTCCCTCTGTCATTCTTATTATAGCTGAATAGGTACTCAAATGAGTCAGACTGGTTCCTCCCATTTTATTCTTCTTTATAAAAATTATTTTAGTTCTTTTAGTTCTTTTGCATTTTTATATATGTTTTGAAATAAACTTGTATATATCTATAAATCATGTTGCTAGGATTTTGATAGGAATTTTGTTAAAACTATATATCAACTTGGGAAGAATTGAGTTCTATACTATATTAAGGCTTCTGATCTATGAACATAGCATATTCTCCCAATTCCTTAGAACTTCTTTGATTTCTTTCAGTGTTGTATATTTTTCAGTATAGAAGCCCTCTGTTTTATTAGATTTATACCTAAGTACTTCCCCTTTATTGTGAACAGCTGTAATTGTCATTCCATATTTAATTTCAGTTCCCACATATTCATTGTTACATAGATATATAATTGATTTTTGGGTTTTGACCTTGTATTGGTGACTGAACTCACCTATTCTAAGAAGTTTATTTTGGAATTTTCTACATGGAACATTATTTCATGTACAAATAGGGACAATTTTGTTTGTTTTCTATTCAATCTATATATTTTTTATTATCTTTTATTTATTTATTTTTGCATAAATTGTGACGATTAGGACTTCCACTACTGTTTTAAATAGAATTGCTGGGTGAGAATGGACATACCTTGTTCCTTATCTTTGGGTGAAAGCATTCAGTCTTTCAGCATTAACTATAATATTAGCTATAGGATATTTTTAGCAAATATTCTTTATCAAGTTGGGGAAGTTCTGTATTTTTCATTTTATGAAAGTTCACACCAGAAAGAGAAGTCTTCTGATAACTGTGGAAATTGTTTTTATAGTATGGAAATTTTTATTATTTTCACTTGTAAAATAATGAATACAACTTTAACTATGTTTGGGGTACATATATCTTTTTGAACCATATATTTTGTTTTTCTTCAGGTAAATTCCTAGAAGTGTAATTACTGGGTTATATGATATTTCTATTTTTAGTTTTTTGAGAAACCTCCATACTGCTTCCATAGTGACTGGACCAATTTACATTGCCACCAACAGTGTAGGAGTGTATCCTTTACTTCACATCCTCACCAACACTTGCTATTTCTTATCTTTTGGATAGTGGCCATTCTGTCTAATCTTTTACTTTCAACCTACCTATATTATTACATTCAAGGTGAAATAGTTTATAGCTGGGTCTTTTTTATAATTATGATTGACTCTATCAGTCTATATTATTTAATTGATGTATTTAGACCATTTGCATTCATTTTTTTACAAGTCAGGGTAATTTCTGCTGTTTTAGTTTTTGTTTTCTGTTTATTCTCTTTTTCCCTTTGTTTCTGTTTCTGTTTTCTTTTTCTTGCCTCCTGGTGCATTTTTTGACACATTTCAGAATTGCATTTTGATTTACTGTACTGTTTTTCAGTGTGTTTACTTGTATAGCATTTTTAGTGGTTATTCTAAGTATTACATTATATATACCAAATGTTACAGTATCAGTTTTAACATGTTGCCATTACAAGCTAGTGTAGAAACGTTACTTCACTTTAAACCTGTCTAGCTTCCCTATACTATTATATAGTATAACTATAATACATATTTCTTCTACATACATTAAGATCAGACAGTATTATAAGTTTTATTTCAACCATCAAAATAATTTAGAAAACTCAAGATGAGAAGGAAAGTGTATTATATATACCCATATATTTGCACTCTGTCTGGCAATAAATTATTTTCCTTCATCTGAAAATGCCTTGATTTTCCCTTTATTCATGAAGTTTTGTTTTTCTTTGTTTTATGTTTTTCACTTTTTTGGTTTTTTTTTTTTTTTGCTGGGTATCGAATTCTGAATTGGCAGATCTTTTGCTTTTAGCAGGTGAAAAATGTACCACATTCTGGACTCCATGGTTTTTGATGAGAAACTGCTTTCATTCAAATTGTTTTTCTTCTATAGG